TCTATTTCCCTGTCAATGTTCCCATCTTCATTAAAAGGCGTAAGATGACAAAAACAAGATCTTTAAGAATTTCTCAATAATGTGCCTTGGTTATGGTAGGTAATTCGAAGAAAAAATAAAGTGTTGCTGTTTCTTATTTGTAAAAGGTTTAAAAGGAAAGACTACAACATAATGAACTAATTCATCACAATACCTGAAAACTATGACTTCACGTTTTTTGAAAAGTGAAATGGTCTTTACTTTTACTCCTGATCAATAATCAAATATTTTTTCTTGAATTATGAATAACATGAATGGATTGAAATATTTAATTAAATTATCTCAAAATAAACCTTCATTTCGGTGCAAGATTGAAATTAGCTTGAATTCTTCATAACCTCTGAATAGTTGGTGACCCAATGGGTCACGGGTTGTTTAGTAGATACTAAAGTACAATCGAAAACTCTATTTATAAAGTTTGATAATAACATAATAGATGGCGCTAGTCTTATATATTTACCTTTACTAAATCTGATACAAGCAACAATAATTTGGATTGCTTTAAAGATATTGCCGAGCTTAATCAGTAAATAATAAATTATTTTAAGCCCACTGAAACACAATGTGTTCTGGGTTTACCGAGGAAAGTTTTTATATCGAATGTACAAAAGTTTCGTATCTTTCTAAGCGATGATATAAATTATATATGAGTTTTGCATACTAATTTGCCTGTGGCAGAGTTGTTTACTCAGTTGGTGTGTTCCGGTATCATTAGATTTCTACAATCTTCAAACTGAGTGCGCTGTTAGCCCAAAAGTTTGAAGGAAAAATGGAAACTCTTCTTTTTGAACTCACAAGCTTCATTTGTTATTTATAGGACAACTTAGCTGGCGGAAAATGTGGTATTACATCACAATAACACTGTTAATCAAAGCAATCTTTACTGAATTTATTTACTTCACGGCTATTCTATAACAAGAGTGTATGACAACGTTCTAGCCATACCCAGATTGATGTATTACAATACCAACGAAACCTTGCGCTCGATATCGATACTTATCAGAACAGCTGAACTGCGAAGAGTAAATTATAAGTATAAATATTATTGATGTTAGTGGTTTGTGAAACAATAAACCGTAAGATGTAGAATGTATTAGGCTACAGAGCATAAGATTTAGTGGCATTATGGATAAGATGTTAATTAAAAAGTTAATCACATTATTATTCCGGCTCAGCTAGGTTTTTTTTTCCTGATGAGCTCCAGTATTTTGCGAATGTTCTCATCAAACAATAAACATAGTGTTGTTTCAATCAGTAAAGAATCATATGATTTAATTTTTTTTTCAGTTTTATTCCATTTCTGTTTAACAGCTATTTCCTTGTTAAGTGGCTCTACTAACATCCAGTGAAGTACATGGAGGGTTAAAAAACACTTAATAAGAACAATTCATAGATCGACTGTGGCGCCAGATGTGTAGTACCTACATATATGGTTCATGACGAGTACTCGACCACATGAAAGTGGAATACCAACACGATACCCTGATGGAGTGAACTGTTGTCACAATCTTTTCCGAAGAAGATTATTTATATAATGAGATTGTTACAGTATCGAAGGGAAGAGAATATTCTTTAAAAGAGTATAAAAAATTCGTACAACACAGAGAGAAACAGGCTCCAAAAGAAAACTCATTGGGCAGAGCCCTCATCCTCAAGTTATGGTTACGACAGTAAATTCTCCTGAAAACTCCAAGCTAATACTTGAGCAGGGCCCTCATCCTCACGTTATGGTCACGACAGTAAATCCTCCAGCTGCACCTCGAATTAGATTACTGTTTTCATGAGAAAAATGGCCTAAGAAAGTATATTCACAGCAACTAAACTTGACTAAATAAGTGTTAAGTCTACTGATATATCTCAAATGGAACTTTGTGCCCTTGGTCTGCTTAGAAGCTGGATACGTGTGCTATGGGGAGTCTAAGATTGACCTTGCCATCCTAAAACAAACAAAAAAAAAATACAATAGAAATTACGCTGTTGGGCAGTAAATTATAGCCATTACCATCACACAGAGCAACGATTTATGAAGGAGGAAGTAGATACAAAGGCACCACAAAACCTAGAACAGAACCAGGAGAGAGAACAGAGGTTTTTTCAACAATCTGGTGGGTCCAGGGAAAGATTATTGACTTTCAAAGCTAGAACCTGAAGCTCAATTCCTCACGGTGGACAAGACCCAGGTAGTCTATTTTGTAGCTTTGAGATAAAAACAACACCACATAAACAAACAACGAAAACAATCTTTTCTGGCGTAACATGTCTCGGTTCCATTAACAGGAGTGTTTTTGTGTCTCATTGTGAGCGTATCTCAGCTATTTTGTATACTTGTTCTGGGAACCTTACAAATATTTAAAGCACAATCATATTAGTAGCTTCGGCTATAATATTAGGAATTTATTTATGAAATACTTCAAACAGAGCTTGAGTGGGATCAGCTCTTAGTGCTGTTCTCTATCTTAATAAATAATAGTGAGTAAATAAGAAAATATCTATGAGTTCAAACTTTATCAAGTGCCTAAATTATAGTGACTAAATAAGAAAATATCTATGAGTTCAAACTTTATCAAGTGCCTAAATTATAGTGACTAAATAAGAAAATATCTATGAGTTCAAACTTTATCAAGTGCCTAAATCATACTGAGAAATAAGAAAATATCTATGAGTTCAAACTTTATCAAGTGCCTAAATTATAATAACTAATAAGAAAATATCTATGAGTTCAAACTTTATCAAGTGCCTAAATTATAATGACTAATAAGAAAATATCTACGAGTTCAAACTTTATCAAGTGAAATAATATTAAAAGAAAAGGAGAAAAACAAAAAATCCTCATTAATCGTTGTGAAATGGAGAAAATATATATGCATAGGAAACTGAATAATACAAGGACATTTATTGTTTCTAGGGTATAACATGAGGTGTTTTCAAGATATCTGCTTGTGTTCACGCTTGACGTACACCGATAAGAAATGGTTATAAAGAGGCTGGTTACGTTTCACCAATGGTAAAATGAATATTTCCACTTTACCAGGACAAGTGCAAAATTACGCATTTACTTTCTCGGCAGTCTAGATCCGTAAAGTTTCAAGTCAATTGATTAGATAAAAAAGTATTTATTTCATGATTACAAATATTTAAAACAAGTACATTAAACAAACCTTTAGTTCCAACACGAACAAAGATATGATGAATAATAATTACGATTGAGATTAAAACATCAACATTCATATTACTGTGAAACATACACATAAACACCAACTGTCATCTTTAACCTGAACATACACATTATAAACACGAGCATTCATCTTACTGGAAAACATACACATTATAAACACGAACATTCTTCTTACTGGAAAACATACACATTATAAACACGAGCATTCTTCTTACTGGGAAACATACACATTATAAACATCAACATTCATCTTACTGGAAAACATACACGTTATAAACATCAACATTCATCTTACTGGAAAACATACACATTATAAACACGAGCATTCTTCTTACTGGAAAACATACACATTATAAACACGAGCATTCTTCTTACTGGAAAACATACACATTATAAACACGAGCATTCTTCTTACTGGAAAACATACACATTATAAACACGAGCATTCTTCTTACTGGAAAACATACACATTATAAACACGAGCATTCTTCTTACTGGAAAACATACACATTATAAACATCAACATTCATCTTACTCGGAATTATGCACATCTATATATATATCAACATCTATATGCGTTGTACTCGGTAATATATATATATATATACACATTATATACATTAGCATAAAAAACTACAGTAATTTTGAGAAGAGAAATCATGACTTTGACTGAGAAAATACTGATTACAGTTTTTCAGGAAAACTAATTTTTATTTGATAAAATCTTTATTTTCAAGATCATTATGTACAACGAAGCAACAAATTCGTTTATACGAAAAAACAACAACACAAGAACATATATCAGCTTCAATATTGGAAATTTTAACTTTTCTGGATATAAATAAAGATTTGAAGATTCATATAATTTCAGTCGTCTTTTCACATATCTCAGTTTTATGTAGTTCATCAGAAAAAGATATCAGCTTTCATTATCCTCATAAATATTCAACCACATTGACTTTTACACAGAAAGTTAAACGTTTTTAACTCATATATTTACTTGCATTCAGTTTTACAGCTTTTCAACTATATGCTATCTTATAAACTGTTTAACTATATACTACCTGTTATCCAAAATTATAAACTGTTTAATTATATACTACCTGTTATTCAACGTTATAAACTGTTTAATTATATACTCTCTGTTATTCAACGTTATAAACTGTTTAACTGTATACTCTATTATTCAACGTTACAAACCGTTTAATTATATACTACATGTTATTCAACGTTACAAACTGTTTAATTATATACTACATGTTATTCAACGTTACAAACTGTTTAATTATATACTACATGTTATTCAACTATATTCCACGTTCAGAGTTTTTCAAGACTACTTAATTATACACGAGTTGAATCTCTTATCTACTATGTACAGGTTTGGTAAAATTTGTTTTTCCTAATGTTTCGACTTACACAAGACGTTCATTTCCATAAATACAATATATTAAGGAACTTTTATATTAGTGAATTATTTCAATGAAAAAAGAAATTCTCCGGTCACTGGACGATAAAATTTATGGTTTATAATGTTAAATTTCAAGTTTGATCCCCGAGACGAACACAATTGTGCGGCTTAGCGCAAAAAAAATAAGACAAACGTATACATTTTTATATTAATTTCAAATACGAAACTAGCAAGTATTTCACTTTAAAAACATTAAATTTTCTCTGAAGGAGTACTAAAAATCATATACATATTTTAACAAATTTTCTGATTTCAGAAATCAGTATGTATGAAGTTAAAGTTTGTGAACGTTTTTATTTTTTTTTTAAATGAAGCGCATAACCATGTCTTTCTTCTTTGATTTTTTGTCTCTGAGATCTTTTGGTGTGAGATAATTTTGAGAATTGATATCCCGCGTATCTCCGTTTCTTGTTTTATCTTCTTCAATAACATTCTCATGTGTATAATATACAGCATAATGCCTCCTGGTCAAGAAACAGGCTAACGTTAAGAGTATGAGAAAGAGTACGAATAGAACAATGGTTACCACGATCCCAATATGCAAGTGAGTCGTGAGAGTACGAGAAAGGGTAACAGGAAGGGGGCAGATTTCAAGTTCTTCTGGATAAAGTGTCTCAAGTTTTCGCCCTAACAAATGTTCTGGCTCACTGCAAACCAAGCTTTCGTTTTGAAGTTTTTCGAGGAAAGCAGAACTGTTAAGGCACGCGAGTAGGGATCCGACATTACACTTACTACAGTGCCATCTATTGGAATGTAGGCGAACTTTTTGTAAAGATGACGTTTCATTTATTATTTTCAGTGTTGACAACTGTAATTCTTTTAACCCATTATTTGAAAGGTCAAGCTCCTCTAAATTTGTTAGTGGTTCTAAGACAGCAGAGGGTAAACATTCGAGCTCATTTTTGGATAAATCTAGATATCTCAAATTTCGGTTTTGGCTAAAAGTGGTAACAAATAGTTTTTCTAGTTGCATTCCAGCGAGAGAAAGCCTTTGCAGTTTTTCCAATGGGTCAATTATGTTTGCCACTGTGATGTGGTCCAACTTATTAAAACCAATATTTAATGTTTCCAGGGAGTCTGATAAAGGTGAGAATACGCTTTTCTTCACCAGTGTTAAACGATTGTTAGATGCATCCAAATGTCTTATACTACTGTTGCAGAAAGCACACGAGTCTATCGAGATTATATTGTTTCTTGATAGATTCAAGGTGTCTAGATTGTGACCACTAAATGTGTTTTCCCTGATATCTCCTAAATAGTTGTTATCAAGCCGAAGAACTCGAAGTCGTTTTAAGTGTTGAAATTCAAACGGTTTAATGTAATAGAAAACATTGTCCCTCAAGTCCAGAACCTCGAGATTTGGAACATTTTGATAGACTAAAGAATGCAGAGAAGTCAGATGGCATTTCCGAAGAATCAAACTTTTTACTGCTCCGAGATCCTTAAAATTGTCTGGATCAACTTCACTTAATGTATTTCCACTAAGATCTAAGTACCTCAGTTTGGATAGCATATAGAAAAACCGAGGTACAAGTCCATCAAGCCTATTCCCTGCCAGAGAAAGTGTGTTTAGATTTTTGAGGTGATAGAAGGGCGCAGAGGGTGTGGCATAGATAAGATTATTACTTAGATCAAGGGTTACCAAGTTTTTTAGACCAATGAAGTTGGAATAGTGAAGAAGTGTTATTTTATTATAACTGAGATTGAGAACCATCAAGTACTGACAAGGCCAGAAGGAACTGTCTCCGATAGCAGGAATATTAGAATGCGTAATGTGGATTTCTTCGAGAAAGTGGAATTTCTGGAATATTCGGCCGACAGTCAGATTGTTAGGGACTTCTGGAGGAGCAGTGACACGAAGAACTTGGATACTTTTGTCCATCTCCTGTGTGGGGATTAGGTTCATTCCTCCTTGATTGCAAGTCACTGTCTTTCGATCTTGTATGACATCACATCTACAGATATCGGGACAGTTCGAAACACTTTGTGTTACAGAAATCAAGAAAACATTTATCCACAAGATGGCGCTTCGCATAGTGATATTTCGCATTTCAGGCAATTCCAGCTGAGTATGTCGTAACTAACTAAATAAGAAAAAATATTAACATGCTTAGACAATAAGTAACAACTTTTGTTTATTTTACTTTGAAGTATAAGACAGAGATGTATTACATGAAAGAAAACACTGAAAATGACAAATAAAGTAAACGAATATTTTAGACTGTCATATAAAATATTAATTAAAAAGATAAGTGACATTAAAAAAATAATTAAAAATAATGCCAATAATAAAGGGCAGTGTTAAGTATTTTTGCAGTAAAAATAATGAAGATGAAAACAATTACAATTAAGCCCTATAAGAGAAAAATCTAATTTTATCATATACATAAACTTTAATTTACTGCTCTTAAAATATTGCAAAACACAGACAATACCCAGCAAAAGAAGAGCTTATTGCAATGGTAAAACTGATCTTAAATTGTAAAACAATTATAGACCACTTCTAGGACTTTACTGATCTTAAAGTGCACGAGATTATAGAGTGCTTTTTAGACTTAAAGTTTCTTAAAGTGAAACAAACTATAAACAACTTGTCAGTCTTTACTGATCTTAAAGTGAAACAAACTATAAACAACTTGTCAGTCTTTACTGATCTCAAAGTGAAACAAACTATAAACAACTTGTCAGTCTTTACTGACCTTAAAGTGAAACAAACTATAAACAACTTGTCAGTCTTTACTGATCTCAAAGTGAAACAAACTATAAACAACTTGTCAGTTATTACTGACCTTAAAGTGAAACAAACTATAAACAACTTGTCAGTCTTTACTGATCTTAAAGTTAAACAAACTATAAACAACTTGTCAGTCTTTACTGATCTTAAAGTGAAACAAACTATAAACAACTTGTCAGTTTTTACTGATCTCAAAGTGAAACAAACTACAAACAACTTGTCAGTCTTTACTGACCTTAAAGTGCAAGACATTATATAGAATTTCTCAGATTTTACTGATCTTAAAATGTAACAAGTTATAGAGCACTTCTCAGACTTTACTGATCTTAAAGTGTAAGATATTATAGAGCACTTCTGAGACTTTACTAATTTAAAGTGTAAAAGTTTATAGAGAGTACCTACCACGGGAAAATCGCATTGCCATCACGTACGGAAAAGCTCAAACTTTAATTTAGCAATCTTAAAACGAAAAAAAATTATAGATATAAATTAGATATCACGTTTCTTTATTCCGGTGTTAACAATACTACGGATAACATAACAGTCTCTCACATAACTCTGCAGTACTGCGTAACGGTAGACAAATTCTTTAATAACATTCCGTAACAACATACTATACTGTCGAGTTTGACACATTAGTTTCTGTATTTTTCTGAAGTCCCTCTTCAGCAACTGGTGCTTCTATAGTAGTCTTTGTATTATACTGAAGTCTCTGTCTCAGTAAATGGTACTTGTATAGTAGACTCTCTGTTATATTGAAGTCTCTGCCTCAGTAAATGGTACTTGTATAGTAGGATCTGTGTTATACCGAACTCTCTGTCTCAATAAATGGTACTTCTATAGTAGTCTTTGTATTATACCGAAGTCTCTGTCTCAGTAAATGGTACTTCTATAGTAGTCTTTGTATTATACCGAAGTCTCTGTCTCAGTAAATGGTACTTGTATAGTAGACTCTCTGTTATATTGAAGTCTCTGTCTCAGTAAATGGTACTTGTATAGTAGACTCTCTGTTATATTGAAGTCTCTGTCTCAGTAAATGGTACTTGTATAGTAGACTCTCTGTTATATTGAAGTCTGTCTCAGTAAATGGTACTTGTATAGTAGACTCTCTGTTATATTGAAGTCTCTGTCTCAGTAAATGGTACTTCTATAGTAGGATCTGTGTTATACCGAAGTCTCTGTCTCAATAACTGTTATTTATATAGTTTGTTTTTGTGTTATACTAAATTTCTTGTCTCAACAACTGGTGTTTATATAATATTACTTTAGTTACAAAGAAGTCCTTATCTCGGTAACTGATGTGTTTATGTAATGTATGTGCGTTATATTGAAGTCTTTGTCCAAGTAGCTGTTCTCTGTAGATCAATATCGAGATATAAAATAAACAGTTTGTAATATTTCTTCTCGGAGAAATGATATGTTTTGTCGATATTTTAGAGCGAGTCTGTCATTGTTTTTTACTAATAAGTAAGAAACGTTACTCACGGAGCGTCAATCTAATCCTTTATGTCACGATCGGCACGTGGTTACGGTTACGTTTCAAAAGTTCGTGTCTTTTGATTTTAGAATATATTTCGAACTTAAGTACTGCGAAGTAATATAAACAAATAAAATATAGGCAACCAGCCAAGTAAATATTTTCTTAGTGCGACACGTAAGTAAAGAAATGAGAAACTTTAAGTAAAAAGATGGAGAAAACTGAAACTAAACCAAACATCATTTGGAGTCACTCCAGAGAATAAAAATAACAATAAAAAAAGAGAGGTAGTTGGCTGAAAATTGTATTATAGTCAACATGTAAAGTTGGACGAAGGGCCGAGGAATATGTTCACAATATTCAAACTACACTTAGATCTACTTATTTCATGTATAATCATGCTGAACTATGTTGTCTACCGTCGCCATTTAAAACAAAATTAATTAATTAGCAGAATTAGCAATGTCATTGTAATTGATTGTTTGTTTGTAGTTAAACGCAAAGCTACACAAGGGGTTATATGTGCTCTGACCACCAGGGGTAACGAAATCCAGTATTTAGCGTTGTATATCTCACACATACATACAAACAGACATACAGCTGTGCCGCTGGGGGCATTGTTATTTATACTTGTGGTTAATATAACAAGGTACGTTGAAAAAAAAACACATCGTAAATATTTAGTGACTGGTTACCAGAACAAAGAAGTTGGTTGATGATAGTATTAGTATTAACCGCTATGATCAGTATAAGACGGGGTACAACAAAGGATATTAAACAACAAGGGGTACAACAAAGGATATTATTAACAACAGGGGTACAACAAACGATATTAAACAACAAGGGGTACAACAAAGGATATTATTAACAACAGGGGTACAACAAACGATATTAAACAATAAGGGGTACAACAA